GTACCCCCAAGTCCTTCCCCTCAGAACAAGACTTGGAGAAACTTGGAGAAATCAAGCAAAATTTCAGCATTTGTCTGCAGGATCTGATATTGTGTGGTTTCTGGAGAAGTCTGGAGAGCTGCAGAAGCTGAAAGGCATTACCTGCTGCAGATTTTCAGGTTTTGGAAACTGTCCATTGCAGCGGGGAGCTTTCAGCCCACGCACAGATCTGACTTCGGAGGCATGAGATGTTAGCAGAGGCGGGTTACTCGCTCACGACCGCTGCTTGCCTACCTCCGCCCAGGGTCCGGCTTTCCACTGCGCAGGGCACGGTACTCGGTTGCACGGCCTGCGGCTCTCGGGGCGATCCCCACTACAGTACTTGAAATGGACAGAGCGGTTTGCACCGTCGTGGAGGGGCTGAATGCAACGCACTGTACGGAGCTGATAGCCTGAATTCCCACAGGTTTTTGTGCAGTATTCCCACTCATCTGCTGCCCAGCTGGGAAGTAAAAAGGAATAAGATACCATTACAACTTTTACCTATTACCCATACTGCGGCCAGTAATAGTATACAGATTTTTTGTGATGAAACCACTCAGTAAGAGCAGTAACCAGTCTTATATAGGTATAAAAGTCTTATATGGGTATAAAAATCCATGAATAACACAGGAATTGCAGCCTAGAAAGCTGTCAGCATCCTACTGGATTTGGCTTGGGTTACCTTCCACAGCAAGGAGCAATCGTACATACCTTTCTGTGAGACATACTTACAGAGGCTGTGTGCACTCCTGAAGATTGCACATTCTACGAATGGGTTTTGGCTTTTTGCTGGCTTCACAGAAGCTGCGGTGAACCATTTTGTTATCACTTTTCCTGCGGCACCCGTATTTGGTGTACTGGAACCCTGGAAAATATTTCAGAAAAATCAGGAAAAACAGGTCCTTGTTAGAATTTTTGGTTTAAATAGAAGCATGATGGCCTATTGAATGGTTTTACATGACAGGTATTTATGAAGTTCTTAAACATGCTGGCAATTTGTTCAGTTGTCAGGCACAAGACTGCTGCACAGTGTTCTGTGGATGCTGTTTGTAACATGACACTGTCCTAAATTTCTGAGGCCAGAAGAGACAGTTGTGACCCCCTAATCTAACCTCTGCATTACACAACACAGATCATGGCATAGAGAGGGGAGAAATTACCTCTGTAACATTAAGCAGCAGGTCACTGGCTAACCTGGAAACAAACCCAAGTGTCATTATTGTGGTTTTGCTACCAGAACACATCACCTGCTCAACTGCTGTATGTGAGAGTCGTAGTTATTTTGGCATTTGCACCCCCTGTTCTTTGCATCAGAGTAAAGTACGTACCATGATTAAAATGAATGCTAAGTAGCATAAACATCTGAGTCTTTACTTCCAAGGTGGTTTAAGGTACTGAATTTAAACACCTAAAAAAGGGACTTTTCATTTCTAGGCTGGAAGTGGGAGACTTCTGAATAACCAAGCACTTCAGATATTTTAAGCTTAGGCACCCAAAATAACAAGCTGCTTTTAAAAAAGGAAGGCCAAGATTGCTACGGCTTTCACTCCCTCCACCTTTTACTTTTCCACTTTTGGTAATTTGCCATTCATTACGAGAAGTGCTACATCATCTATTTACCTCCACCACAGGGTTTGGAGCACTGTGACCAACTCTTCAACGCCCACTCAAAGGTGTCTATTTCTTCCTGTAGGACGTTGTTGCTGTTGATAGTTGGTACTGAATCCTCGTGAATGATGTATTTGTAAGTCAGGCTAGATCTCGTGTCATTTTCCCGAGGAATGATCTATGGAATCAAATGTAAACAGTGGTATAAACCCAGAGCTATTATTAATTCCTTTGCAAAGTAAAGAAACCAAGGCCTGGCTCTTAGGAGAAACAACTCTTAGGAGTTGCTAGATAACTCACTGGGAAAAAAAAAAATGTTTTTTGCCTTCACAGTTAAAACTAACAATAGTAAGAGCAACAGGGAGCTGTTTAAAATGAGATATATTTCTAGGCTAGCATTCTAAGGTGGCCGTGTAGGCCACCACCATCTAGGATGAAAGGACGGTGTGGCCACATCATTTACTTGGCTGAAGAGCGGGGCTGGTCTCAGACATGGTTGGACACGCAACGCCCTTTTTTGGTCCACAGAAGTCTCCCACCGATGTCCCACAATGCCATATTGGGCTCCTGACTGACATACTACCGCTGCACGAACAGGCAGCAGTTTACCAGAGAGGGTAGAGAGAAAAGGGCTCCCGGCTATCAGCCATCTCATCCGCACGAGGGGCATTACACACGGTGCTGCATCTCAGCACACGCCCCACGCTGGCCGTGCACCCTTCATAAAAGACAAACCCACCACGTTCCCGCCGCTTGACACGTAACCTACCAGCACCACCACTGCGTCGTGCAAGGGCCCGTCGGTGTGGAGAGTTTCGATGTCGTCTTCGATGTTGTACTCCCACTCCACGCCCAGGTCGATGAAAGATCGGGATCTGGCCTCCTCCCCTTTCCCGTTCAGGATGTAGTGTCCTGTAGCCTGGTTCTTAATCGCTAGAAGGATTGAAAACAGTGCCAGTCGTGTCCCCCATCGTATCACCAGCAATCACGGAGGCTTACGGAGCTATTACGGAGGGTCTTTTGCAAAAACACCCAGCACCCTGGCCAGTGCTGGAGTCGCGTGGGCTCAGAGAAAGGCCCTCCACGTCCATCTCATGCAGCCTCCAAATTCCAGTCTGGTGACAGACACATCTGCATACTTGCTTCTATTTTGTACTTCCTTATCCATGTGAATTAGATAGGGATATGGAATTAGAGATGGACTGAAGCACCTCTTACTATGTAACATGCACATTTCCCATACTAGCTTGGTTCCCAAGAAGCACGGAATTCAGGTCAAATCTTCAGAATCGCCCGTCTTCCTTATTTGCGTCAGACCAAAGTCAGTAATACTGGGAATGCCTGTTAGTGTAACAGACACCTCAGCAGGCTTTAACTGCATTTCTTATTTTCCTCACGTTATGAAAATGACAACTTTTTCATCACATTTTAGTTTTTCTTCTGTGTGCATATGTACGTACAGGATGCTACAATCAGTAAGCCAAGAGCTGAGGCATTTGGAACCCCTGGGAAACTACTTGGTTTTGGGTTCCTGCACCACAACTTCAAAGTCATGTACTGTGGGGATTATTATTATTATTATGCTCTGATTAGAAGCTAATAGATTAGAAATCTGAAAGATGGACTCTCATTCCACAACTTGAAAGACACGTACTGTGGGGATTATTATTATTATGCTCTGATTAGAAGCTAATAGATTAGAAATCTGAAAGATGGACTCTCATTTTTTCTTTTGTACACCTTCTTCCAATGAACCATAACACATGATAAAAACCCATACAAATTCCTATGATTATAGTAATTAGTGAGTAGCTTCATGAAGCTACTTGCTGCCAGAGCAAAGTTATGCTTCTCTGAAAGTTACTATCAGGCTATGCTTCGTCCAAAATGAAGCTCTTGGACCTCAAAACCTAGTTTCCCCCTTTGACATTATCACAGTTGAAACAATTTCTTTTTTTTTTTTCTTTTCTATTCCTCCTTTTTTCTAGTAATTAATCCAACTCTGCATAAAGGCGCTGCCCTAACACATGAGGAGCTGATTAAAAGGCCGTTAAAATCCATGGATGATCTCACCCCTTCCCTGTGAGCTAAAAATCCCTTAAGCATTAGTGGTAAGCAGTGAGATACAAATTGATTGACAACAGTATGAACTGCTCCACCTGACAAAATCTGAAATGGAATGCACTGCAAATATATCACAGGTTCCCCAATCTTCTTTCCATTAAAATATGCAAATATATCACGAGTTCCCCAATCTTCTTTCCATTAAAACAGCTGTTGCTCACAATCTGCAGCACATAAGAATAATTAAAGATAGGGTGTTTGATTCACATCACAGAATACATAGCTTTTACCCTGGCAGCACCTGTTGAAATACGATGACAATCCTGTGTTAGTACACATGCAAACTGGCCCCAGTTTCATGTTCTGAAGAATTCAAATGAGTGTTTGCTGGGCTTATGCTGTAGGAGTCAGTCCTTAACATGCAACTTTGAATGCACGTATTTACCCGAAACACTTTAATTTGGTTATCTCATTTCTCAGGTTCCTCTGCATGACTGCCCCATGCTTCTCATCATGCCTCAAAGCCACACCTGAGGAGAGAAACACTTACCAAGAAAGTGAGGAGAAGCCTCGTCTTCTTGGATAAACACATGTCGAGCACCAGGAGGGATATCAAACATCTTAAGGTACCCTTTGGCATGTGTAGTAGTCAGTGGAGAAAGCAGAGATGGAAAGAAAAAGTGATAGCCATGGTTAGGAGCGCACTACACGATCCAGCTTCTACTTGCAGAAGACAGCATCCATCACCAACCGAGCAGCAGTGCCAGAAAGAAACTGAGCAAATAGTTTTGTAACGTTTTTGGCAGGACCTCCTTGGGCTTTTTCTCTTTCAGGGAGAGAAGAGAAAACAGTTACAAATCTATTTGTCACTTGACTAGCTACACTGCTATAGGCCATATCAATTAACTGTCCAGGCAAAAATATGTTTCCTATGTTCCTCAGCATGTGAGGGGGAAAACCACAAGTCTTCCTGATTATTTTCTCCAAATCACTCATCAGCCAGACTATTAGATTTGAATTTACTTACTGTCATGTTAGCTGTTAATGTCTTCAGCATGTCTGCTTACTTATGAGACATCAAAGACTGGAGAAAGGTGGGTGTAGTACAGCGTGTGTTGTGGCTACACATCAGAAAAGGCTTGTCTGTGTGGAAGTTACCCAAACTATTTACAACTGTGAATGTAAAATGCCTCAATTAAAATGCTACTGCTGAAGTGACGGGGCTGAATTCAACTCTCTACAGCTAAACGTAAGAATCTGTTCTCAAAATTACTCTTATTTTAAATTTCAGTTGTTTATCAGCCCACACCACAGGTAATTAGTGTAGCATTAAGTAAGTATGGTCATTAGGAAGACTAAAATCCCACCTAGGCATCTGTCAGCAGGTACTGCTATACTGAGTTTTAAACAGCAACATCATAAGCACTCCGAGTGTATGGTGTTTTCAAATTTCTATTATTTTCTCTTTAACAACTGCACGTTCAATTACAATAAACCTCTGTACATCCCTTTTTAAAGAGCTGAGTAAGTTTTTCTGGTTTGTACTCTGCTACGCCACTTCCCAAGTTATCCATCCCTGGTCTGGAAGCAGTGTGGTTGTGACACGAGTTTTATTATTTGTGCACTGCAAACGCAAGACGTAGCATTTAAGTAGTTCTGTCTCATCCTGTGGATTCTGGGACTGCACCTGACATCATACTGCGGCTCCTTAGAAAATCTAAGTGAAGAAAAAAGAAGAGCTACAGATCTATGAAATCATGGTCTTGGCTGACGAGCGATTGTGCAAACAGCACTGGCCAATCTTTTCACTGACCACCTTTTGAGCATATGAAACATAAAGCTTTTGCCTGATCTGGCGTTTTCTATCGATGTCTGGATGGAGATGAGCCCTGCAGCAAGGACTCTCAAGTTGCCATGGATGCCACTCTTTCTGCAAGCACCTGAAACTTACCCAGCATATTTTTAGATTCCTTTGTTTCAGAAAGGGAAACATTGCGAGCTCCTTTGGGCAATGTAAACGCTCCTCTTGTCTTCCCTTAAATAGAACGTCTGTAATTAGTGCTGTGGGAGCCAAGTCTTAATATTTCATTGACTACGTTTGTCAGCCAGATGGTCTTTACAAGTATGAATTACGGTGTGTGTTCACATGCATGTAAAGCAGAATGAGACACATCTAGCAAATTTTAATAGTCAATGAAAGTCAGACCAGTGAAAATTCAGGTAGGTGATTTTAAGTTGGATACTTGCAGATTTCATTTTCCAGAAACTTGAATTCTTTTTGGCACCTCTTGCTTAAATGTTTTCCTGTTGGAAGAGGTCAATTAGTCCTTTTAATGACTAAATTGCCAAAGTTACTGTAAAACAATAAACATTTCATAAACACTTCTACCGCTTCGATAAACATTTGCAAAGAAAGCTGATTAACAGCGGTCTTCCCTGAGCTGTCCCCTAGCGCTGTCTGTCACTTTGAGTTGTCGTGCATTCCAGATGCTGAAAACACCGGGCAAACACTCACTCACATGCCGTCAGCCCTCCGACAACGCAGTGATTCCCAGTGGCCCACAGGCAGAAATGCTGAGCCAGAACGTGGTGGGGTCAGCAGCGTGTTTTGGCCTCTTGTCTGCCCTGTTAGTCTCTCGGGGACTAAGCCAAACCACAGGCTTAGGGCAGCGCGTGGACTGCCAGCCAGGAGCTGCAAACCAGCCGTACAGACTCACTACAGAAAGCTCTACTGGGCTGGATCCAAAGTTGTGACACAAATATCCCTTCTGCCCCAAAAATTCCAATCATTTTCTTAGCGAAAAAATCAGAAATGCTTTTAGAAGGCTGAGCGCTTATTTCTGCTGATTACTTTTTGTTTGTTTGTTTAAGAAAAGTGCAGTAGCTGCCAGCTCCAGAAATAAACAGTCTTATATTTGAGGCTCAAATTATAGTCTGAAGTCCATTATCCCCAAAGATTGAACGATTCTGGCATTATTCCATGTCCATCAGCTTCCAGGGAATCACCCCTTTCAGAAAGGGACTCTACTGTAATTTGATAATTACAATCAGTAAACTTTTCCAATTGGGCTGTAAGAATTAGTAAGTACTTTCAGCAGAACATTTTATGCATTTTATTTACAGTTGCACATTAACTTATTTTTGTCCAAGTTTAGTTTGCCTACTCCCTGTCCAAATTTAAATATTAATGCTGCAGTAAAGCTTGCTTCATGGCAGCAATCACCAGCCTCTAAGCTATTAATGCAGATATTCGCGTTATCTGCCCCTTAGTCTTTCCCTGCTCTGCCTTAGAACACTTGGTTCCATCTGCCAGGTATTCCTGAAATAACTGCTCCCAGTCACGCAGGAGAAACGCTTCCCCGAGTACCTTCCCCAGACTGAAAAAAAAACAACAAAGCACTACAGGGAAGCCTTAAAATACAAAATAGTCAGAGCAGCAGGTACAAGATAATACTGCCCTGGATTAACACATAACTGACAAACCAGAAATTTCTGAGTAAGTCCAAGGAGATCTTGAATTATTATTGGTATCAAATGTGTTGCAAAATACCCCAGAGTGCAGTCTGAAAATTTTAAGCATGTCATTCCCAGTTCTGAGCTAGCAGAACGCTATCCTATGTTTCACTGGATCTCAGTCCCAAAACTTAAAGGGTATGAGAAATGAGGATTTCTGCCAAAACATTTTGATATTTGGTTCAGAATTCAGCTACGCTTATTTTTGCTTATTTGACCAAAGGGCTGTGATTTGTAAGACAGCATCATAAGAAAAGAATTTGACATGAGGATCCACAGGCTCGTTTCATATGCACAGAAATGCAGACTTCCATTTAAAGCTCTTGAGTTCAGCTTTGAGAGGAAAAGCTTGTGAAAAGCTTAGTCTTCAACGGGAGGCCGTTAGTCCACCTACAGACAGCGGCGTGCTACGCTTAGCGTCAGGCGAAGTATCTCCACGTCACTGAGAGAAGAACAGTTCGTTTTTGATTAGCGAAACTCAGTGTATCCCCACTTATTGCAAACATTGGCTGGGCTTCACTGTTCACAAACAAGGATTAAGCACGGTCTGTGCAGTGAGTGTTTCTCGATAAACCTGACTGGTCAAGCTTCCTTCTAACAGGCCCTTCAAGGGACAGAAAGAGCTGTTTTAAAGGTGTCATTTCTTTATCATGGACTAAACCAGTTTTGCACATCAGCTTACACCTTGTGTTCTGCCTTCAAGTAGGCTGCATTTCTGACAGGTCTATAAAAGCATTAAGTATGACAGAAACACCAGAGGCTACGACGGAAACTATATCCAGATGGATGAAAAAGCTATTCCTACCAAGCTTTTTGGGAGTGCGGGTAAAGGTTCCCTTCACAGTCCGGCAATGAGAGTTATCCCCGCCACAGACGCCACACTTATCTTCAACCTTATTGGAGCCGATTTCCTTGTCACAACCCACTTTCTGCAGAAAGAAGAGCCAAAAAAAAAAAAACCCAGAAAGAGAGAAGGCTTTGTTACTGGTGGGAAGCCATGGCAAAATTCAGGCGTAGAGGAAATTACCGCCCAACACTGATCCCTTTTATTTAAACACCAATTGCTGGCAAACCTGGTGCTAGACAATGGTTCTTATGGGAAAAGCAGGAATTGATTCTTGCTTTATGTTCACTGTATTTCAAGACTAAGAAAGATGGGAAAGACAGAAAAATAGATTCAAATCTTTTCAGACACGGAAATAGGTGCAAAAAAGGCAAATGAAACAGTTGAAGAGAAGTGGAGTGTTTCCATGGAACAGGTCTGTGCCGTCGCTCCAATTTAATTTAAATATCAAGGAATTAGGAGGAATATGATGCTGCAAATATTTAATTTAGAAACATCTGCAAAGTGTATCTCTGCACTGTTGACTGAGCTGTTCTGGTTGATTCCAAGCACAGCTCAGGCTCAGTGATGACCTTGGGAAGGTGTCACTCACCACGCACTCTCCACGAACACAGATGCTGTAAGGATCTTTATAGGAGCAGCGAGTCCCATCGTGTGCCAGCTGTTTCATATAAGCAACGTCTCCAGTTTCTTTGGATTGGCAGTACAGGTGACATCTCTTGTTAGCTGTATAGCAAGGGAAGAGAAGTAACGGCATAAATTAACAGCAATCCAGATGTGCTTCAGACAAATATCCCACTAAAGGAGTGAAGGCAGTATGACAGAAAGGACCTTTCACAGACAGCTGTGGGGGAAAAAAGCAACTAATTTGTTTTTCTGTGAATTATGGGCCTGTCACTTTGAGATATTCTCAGAGAAATCAGTTCCCTGCTAAGGAGGCTCCTAGGACTGGATACTCTACTATTCTGACAATCCTGATGGGAACCACGCTGGGTTTACAGAATCAATGGGTGCAGAAGAACGACAGCAGCAAACTGAGTCTGGGAGAAGATGGTGCTGAAGCCAGGTGAAAAGCAGCGAGGATTTGGATCTCTTAACTTTGTCCTGTTTTGAAAATACCAGCTGAACCCATATTTCCTGGTTAATGCCTGAGTCTAGCTTCTCAGCCATCTGTGTAAAGGGTACCTCGGGAGATACCCGAGGAAGAAATGCCAGCAACCCCGCCACACCTTTCAGCGAACTCGGAATCTGTCTTTGTGCTTGAAGCTGTCCTTGCCTCTCAAGGCAATTAATGGGTTAGATTAATGTGGTGGTGAAGACTGACAGAATCAGGCCAAGGCAGATGGATCTATAAAAGAGTGGGGAAACACAAAGACGGACTTCTGAAGCAGTGCCATGAGAAAAACATTTTGATTGTTGATACTTTCAGCAGCTGTGATCAGATGCTGGCCCTTTGACAAAGAGCTGTACGGACGAGGGGGCAGGAAGAGCTTTTCATGACCCAACCAGCAGCTTTCCACACTTTGCCCGGACAGCAGAGAGCCAGAACTCTACAGTGCAGTGCACTAAATCCTACGAGCACCCACCAACTACTCCAGCTGGAGCCGAGAGCCTCAAGCCTCTTGTTACATCATGTTCTCACTAAGGAAGATGAAAGTCAGGGGAAGCGAGCTGGCCTAGGGCTGGGGAAATGACAACTGCTCTTTCCTTCTGGGGCCATCCTTTCTTTCTGCTTTTCAGTCTCACCACACTCGCTCACCCCCCGATTACTTCTGGTCTCTGCATGGCTGATGAGCAAGATCCCCCACAAGCTCTGGGAGATTCCAGGCTTGACTTGCAGTCTAGGCAAAATAACGGAGCTTACAGTCAGGGTGTTCATATGGCAGCCAGTGGTGCTTGCTGTTCTGGTACTCAAAGTGGGAATTGCGTTGCTGACACTGCTGCGCTCTGAAGTCCTCAAAGTGCTTCGGACACTCCTCGGTATTGCAAAGTTGGAACTCAAAATTGACACCAGCACAGTCTTCACCTCCATTAAGGGGCCTGCAAAGAGAAAACGTTCATGAGATTCTGGACATGAGCTCTGGGGATTTTTCTTCTGTCTCAGGTAAAATTCCACACTCTACTTTAAGTGACGATTTTGCAAAAAAAGGCGTGTGAAGTGACGGAAATGGAAGCAGAGCAGTTACACTGCAGAGATACACACCATCAGTACAACCCCAGCGCTTGCCCACGTGTCCCCAAGGCATACGGCGAAATGCGGAAGTAATACACGTGCGCACACACGCTGCCAAGAGTTGATTTACAATTAGATTGTCTAAGTTTATCCTGCAGCTTGCTGAGCTCACACACTGTACTCTTCACTCCCTTACACATCAGCTAAATCCTTGGGATGGTTTTCCACAGGCTTTCCTTTGGAAATTCTTGGGTTCTCCAGAAATGATCCTGGCTTCCTGCAAAAAGCCATACTTCAAGGGGCTTGGACAGAATACGAATTTGGGCAGACTCCATCCAAAATGTAATTGCCATTTAAACTGACGCCTATAATGATTCCCAGTTGACTGGAACTACCACCAAGCCAGAAGACCTACATCGGATTGTTGCACTGGCGTGTCCGAAAGCGAACCCCAGTTCCACAGGTCCGTGAGCAGGAGCCAAATTTTGTCCAGGGTCCCCAGTTGCCATCCTGCTTCAGCTGGTTAGCGTTCTTCCACATGCAGTGACCTTTATAGCACCACTGAGAGAAATTGGGCAAGGAAAACAGATGAGAACAGAAACAAAAACCAAACCCAAATGTATAAATGCGGTAAAGTTAAAAGCACACATGGGCTGAGAAGGGGCATCTCAGAGAACAGACTGCAAGCAGAGGCTTTCCTGGGTAAAAGGGGGTGGGGGTCTATGTACCCTGGGCCCAGGAGCACCCGATCCCCTTCCCCGAAGGCAGTCTGCTCCATGAATGAGCACACAGCGCTGCCAAACCCAAGCCTGGACACTGCCATGGGCAGACACGTGAAGCTCCACACATTCCACCCTCCACATAATTGAAGTAAGTCTTTGTTTTATTTGAGTCTTAGCTGCTGTCACCTTTCTCAACTAATTCTAATGTTCTGAATATTAGCAGGATAAAGTTTTTGCTGAGGATTAGTTGGGGTTTTTTTATTTTTTTCCACGTACTGGCCAAATATCACACTTATGCAAATAGGCTGGAACAGAGGGTTAGTCACTGGGCAGGGTGTTGTTAAGCTGCTGGCTAAAGTATACTCAGATGGTGTAAGTGGCTCTCCTGTATCTTAAAATACATGGAATTTGCTAAACAAACATTTATTTGAGAATAATTTTATAATTAAAAATGAATTAGCAGCAGGACGCCCACTAATGGGGATATTAGAAGGGAAAAACTAAGAGCTAATCCTAAGCCTACACAAACATTTAGCCACAGGATGTCTGGACCACAAGCTCTAAGAAGTGGTCCTACAGCAACGGCATTATCTGCTACCGCGGACTCCTAAAGACACTGTGCAGACGAGACAAGAACCCAAAAAATGTAACGAAACAAGAGGCTAAGAATGGGTTACTCCTCAGCTGGGGTTTCTATGTCCAAAATTTACTTTGCACTATGGTCAACCTTGTACAGTTCACAGCACATCACAGTGGGAAAGCACAGCTCCCTTTTTTCCCTTCCTCTGGCTCTAGCCAGGGGATGCTGGGTGATTCCCTGTTTTCCTCTTTGCCCTTCAATCAAAATGAATCCAACTGTTGTTTGTTTGGTTGGTTGGTTCTTTTTCCCCACACAAACCTAGGAAAAACACAATACTCACTTTTCCAGGGGCACATTCTGTCCCATCGAGTGGTGGTCCTTTCTTAGTCTTACAGAAATATGGGTTATCTGGATGGCTACACCACAATTGCTTGCAGGGGTCAAAGGTTCGGAACTGAAATGCAGAACATTTGTAAGATGAAACTCTGCAGTAGATTATTAATACTTTTTGGATAAAGATCCAACCCACCCAGTCAATTCACCTCACACCCACGGCTACCACTAAGTACAGGATCTTCAGCAAGAAAAGGGCAAAAGTATCTTCAGAAAGAAAACGGCAGTGCTTATTCCCTGCATCCCCTAGTCCTGAGCTGGTGAGAAGAGGAAAGGAAGAGACACCCACAAGTGGGAGGAAAATGAGGGTTTTCTTCCTTTTTCCTTGGGGTGACTACCACAAGCCTGTGTCATGTGGACTGTGCTGCCATCCACCTGACCATTAAACCAAATCAGAGAATCACAGAATGGTTTGGGTTGGAAGGGACCTTAAGGACCTAGTTCCAACCCCCTGCCATGGGCAGGGACACCTTCCACTAGACCAGGTTGCTCCAAGCCTCATCCAGCCTGGCCTTGGACACTTCCAGGGATGGCACATCCACAGCTCCACACCAATGACCCAGATGACTGGGTTTCACCCATAAATATCTCTCTCCTCCTTATAGATCTGTGTAGCTGCTCTTCAATTATGACAAAATGCATATACTGCAGCTCTTTAATAAGGCCAGACACCAATTTGCTGAATGAACGTTTGTCTCTGCAACGACTGCCTTGGACATACCGCGGTGCACATTTTATAGCCGACACCGAAGTCAAAGCGGCACTGTTCGTCCATGGAATAATTGATGCCTGGCAGTTCAGGAAGCTTGGGCCAATCATGTTCGAAAGGGTCATCAAGAAGACAGTCGTAAGAGCTGTGGAAAGATACACAGAAAAAGAGTCATGAGAAGATGGAGTGATTTCTTTTTTTATTGATCAGCAAGATCAAAGCACTTGCTTTTAGTAAGACAACACAACTTCCAACCTGTTTTCTGCTCTCTTTACACAGTTATTGCTTCCCAAAGCACAGACAGTCCGTTCTGCAGGAATACTGCCTAATGCAACAGGACTGAGCATTGGATGGGAACATCCTACAGCAAAATCCCTGCGTTTACTGGAGGCTGTGGAGAGGCGTCTCTGGCCCTCCTGTCACCAGAGGTAGAAAACAAACACTCCTCCGCTCTCGGTGCCACCGGGCAACCTCTCAGTGCGCTTGGACCTGGAGTAGGACTCCTAACACAAAGCCCACTGTAGTCAGAGGGAGTCTTCCCACTGACTTTACGGAGTCTGAGAACAGGCCTTCTTGCCTGACAGCTACTGTATTCACAGGAGTGAAGCCCTGCCTATGCGAAGGGCAGGAATAAGCCTAACTCTGAGCCTTAACACAGCGATACTGGTGGGCTGCTCCTCTTGCACTGGGACATTTCACTTTAAGCTCCACGGTCTCAATCAGTTATTATTTCATGCTTTGTGTTACCATTAGGGTTCCTTCTGTGGAAGATGTGGGTCAAGTCATTAAGTTTTCACTCTGTTTCCTGGCAAAACCAGCCATTTGCCATGGAGAAAGAAGCCTGAGTAACAACAGCTGGATGAAGAGGCACATACACGGAGGGAGACTAGAGCCAGCAGGCTACAGATCTTTCTCCTCTCTTCCCTAATCCAGACACATGCACTTATGCCACCTTCTCTCTTCCACAGCTTTTGTTAGTTCCTTTTCGGAGCTTAGGGTTTCATCCTGCCAGATTCACAACATAACTCCTGGAGGAGTCAAAAGCCTAGGGAAAACACCAGCTACCTGACACAAAGTCTGCCATGGGCTTTGAGTACAGCCCTACGTGAGGAAGTTCCTGGTTTATTGCTTTTCTAGTATAGATTTGAAGGGAATAAAAAGAGTATGGCAAAAAAGGTGGTCAGGAAACAGCTCCATCGGAGGAGGCCAGACATTGAGATCGCGGTGTCTCGCTGCCGTTGCACGGAAGCGTGGAGCAGCCAACGGGAATGCCTCGGAAGGCTGAATCCCTGTTGGAAGCAGAGGATCCCATTCCTCAGTACCTCTGAGGCCCCAGCACCACCATGTTCATAAAAAGGGCTTCCACAGTCAAAGGTCCCGTTTACGACACTTGAGCCTGCTCCTTCATGCTGGGATTGCCTCTCCTCTCCGCTGCCTAGCAGAGGGCAGCACGCTGGCCCTGCACCCCAGGAACTCCCAAGACTTCGGTTTCTTTTAGTAAAACAACCACTCCCGAGTGCTGACAGGTCCTTACTGGATGTATCTCTTGAGCTCTTGGCCGCTGCATCGGGACCAGTGGTAACGGTGAAAGGCAGCCTGCACCAAGGGAGCCATAACGCTCCCCATTGCCGTCTCATCCCCACATCTGTTCCCTTGCCCATCGTGCTCCATTCCCAGCCTGTAACAGAGAATCGCCATCAGAGCCCAGGCACCTTCCGCTCTTGCAACCGTAAAGAAAACCGTTTCTTATCCACATGTAATCATGTGAAACGAACTTGCTCTCTGCATTCTGCAGGTATCACCTGCACTTCGGTGTTCTTTGATGCCAAAACATAAGGACTCTCTGAATACCCTTTCAGCCATATTTCATTTTATTTGTTCATACCAGGAATGAACTAATGAGATGATGACGACTTTTTATGCTTCAGCTAAAGGAAACCAACAATTCTGCTCATTAGGGAGCAGTTCATTGAGACACTGAACTGTTCATGTTTTCCTTCACCAACAACACCTACTGAAACACAGAGCTAACAGTCGCCACGCTGCATCTCCAAGGAGCTAACGTGGTTAGCACGTCACATCTCCGCGTGTGCACCTGCCACAGCTTAATATGCAAGTGACCCGGTCATCCCCCACTGGGCTCCATTCCTCCCTGTGAGCTGAACAAGTAGCCAGCACCACTAAAGGAAGACAAAAATCGGATCCTCAGTGCTTGACATTAATTCATCCAGACAGCTAACAGAGATCTTCGCTTAATCAGTTACCCCCAACCTAACATTTCACCATTTGAAGAGGTGCCAAATCTAACAAACCAGCACTTTTGGTCAAAGATAAGAAAGAAGGGAAGGATGCTTGACAAGTTACTGTCTCCAGCACCTGGGCCTTCCAGGTTTCTTACTGACCTCTTCCTCACCCTAGAGAAAACAAGTTCCCCCTCCCTCTTCCCCTCCTTTCTTCTTCCATTTATCTCTTCGTTGCTTAAACCACTGACGCATTCCAAGGGGATGATAGTAAAATTAGGGTAGCTTTCATGTAGCCATTAAAATCAAACCACTGGTGCACCAAAATCAAACCACAGCAGGTGCAGCACCATAATCTGTTGGTGAGCTAATTGTAGAAGTTAGACTTACACGTGACCAGTTTCATGAGCAACAACAAAAGCTGATGAAAACCCGTCCTCATGGTTGAGAGTACAGCTCCGGACTGGGTGACACATGCCAGTAACGGGAGCGTAGCCTGTTGAAAGAAATTGTGTCCGATTCTTTTACCCGTTACATTTATTTTAAACAAGACCTTCCCCCCGCCCCCCATTAAACTTACTACCTGAGAAGAACCTAGGATTGTTTTCTTTTGATTGTCAGTTTTTTCTCTGTCTTTGCAATTGTTGTCAAACAGAGTAAATGGCTGTGCCATACTGGGATTGATTCCACAGACGCCTGTGTCACTTCGGGCACTTATACCTTAATCACCAAAAATGCCCAAGATTCCTGTTCAATCAAAAGGCAGTGCTACAGGCTGGGATTTTTTGCATGTGTCTATATTGGTACCTTCACCTACTGCCCCGTGCAAGTTGCATGCCTTGTCCTCAGTAAAAGCTAAATCTTGCTGACGACAGGGAAGTTTGCCAACATCTCAGCCTAACCAGTTTCACTCCGGGAATGCCAGCCCAGACCTGCAGAAGAACTCAGTCCCTGATTTCCCCTGAGAGCTGAAGGGAGCATGGAGGAACTCACAAATCTCTGAGACATCTACAGCTGGACAGCCAAAACACTCTCTCACCCAGGCTCTTATTTATCTGTACTAACACAAACATGCTTTGTGAATTTAGTTCCCGTTATCATTAGTTGTTTGAGTCTTAAAGATTAATGCAGGTATCAAAGTGGCTGGTATGCCATCTATGAAAAGAAATCTACAGTGGACGATGCAATAAAACGAAAGTGAAGTTGAATGCAAAGTGCACTGACTGCTCCTAGTGATCCTGGCACAGGCACTGGTGTGTGAAGCAAGTAAATGGCTACCTACTTACACCTCCCAAGTAAAAAAACTTGATCTGCTACAGTTAGGTATAAACGGCAAGGACTACCATGGCAAGGTCTACTTCCTTTTTAAGAAGTGTGTAAAATGAGTGGGAGAAAATCCTTTCTCCCCGCCACAGAGGAGTGAGTCCACGCCCAGGCTGCCCACGTGGGTCTGTCCTAAAGCCAGAACTGATGAGGGCATCCCCCTTCCCCGGCAGGAGCAGGTTCACTACACCATTAACGTGGAACACTTCCTTAAGTATTTGCTGAGGAAAGGCCTACGTTGCTTATTGTCTCAGGATCACTTTCCAAACACACTTTCCAAATTTTCCTCTTTTCTGGCAGACAAGAAACACCAAGTCCAGCTAGTTTTGCTCCAGGTCAGCTGCATTACCTTGCATACCAGCAGGCCCAAAATCTTGCCTGGTTAAGAAGATGGCATGATCGTGGTGCTCAGAGTGATTCGGGTCCGACTTCTGCTGCTGATACGCCCAGCGGCAAACGTTCTCCAAGCTTCTCGAGGGGTTCCCCCTTTCAATCAAGCTAATGGACTGAAAGAGCAACACGTTAGACCCGGGAGCTCCTAAAGGTAGGAAATTTGGACACTTTTTGTTTTCTGTGGAGCACCAACCAGTTCCCCATTTCTCTCTCGCTAAACCCCTCTCACTGTAAGCCACGACAGGCTTATGAGAAAAGAAAACGTGTATGTTAACAGTGACCACGCATGCCTAAGAGCACATCTTTAGGGCTTGTTTCGAAGACAGTTTAATGAGTGTTCACATCATCTATGCCAATAACTGTGGCCTATAACATCTAACAAATAACGTCTAGCCCCTAATGTGCAGGAGGAAAACACAACTTGATGTTAGGATTGAATAAGGACATTTTTACTTCTTTTGTTGGAACTTGCTTACATTCTGGACTGCCAGAGGACAGCGTGACTCTGTTGAGATGAATGAACGTGTAGCGACACACACACACTGTGTGGAGGAAGTGAATAATATACACATGTAGGACAATGTCTGAACTGGTGCAGAACGCTGTAGTGCCAGTAAACGTGTACTGATGAACCCAGATGAAACATCTGGTTCTGTGAGACTTTTGCTACAGCGAGTGCCTACAAGCTCAATAAATTTAACTACAAGACAAACATCAAACTGGTCTTTTGACTTGCCCAAATTCGATGTCCGAGTTACATGGAACAGATATGGCCTTTATCAAACCCTAAGCAGCATTACTGCTTTCCTCTCACCCTGAACAAGCATTTGTTTCAAAGCTCTCTGTATGCATTCAACCACCAAAATCAACGTACTGGTACAAGTACTGTCCGGGGTACAAAGTGAAGGAGTGTGCTGTGACCCAGTAACGGGTGCAGACAGAATGAGAGAGTTACACCAACAGATTGCTTGGAGGGGGTGCGCCAGCAAGCTGTGATAGTCAACCAAGCTGATTGCTCCTGCTAAACCGAGTTAATTCACAGAGGATTCAAAAGGGCAGGAATTCAGGCTGCAAGCTTGAGCCAGTCCTGCACCTGTGTCACAAAGGGACACTCGCTGTCGGCCTCAGGAGTGAGGGCACGAGCATGTTTAGCACGTGCCAAGCAGGGAGAGCAGTTCTCTGGAACCAGCTGTTGGGTAGACTTCTGATTCAACAGCCCTTTATGTGACTCATGTGGGCCATAATTATAAAGAAGGTGAAGGAGGAGAAGTGGTTCAGAGGCCAGCTTACCTTCGCATACCCCAACATGATCATTCGGACCAGCACAACATTTATGTGAACACCCAGGGATTCATCGTGGTAAATTTCATTCACCTGAGGAAAAAAAGGGAAACATTAAAAAGGGGAATTCCAAGGCTACACAACTGTTACTTGAAGTGCTCATCCCACTGCAGTCTTCTCAGAAGAGGACTCAAGTCTCAAATCATTTCGCTGTGGTGATCAACGTAGACTACGCTTTGTGTCATCACATACCCCCTCACACAGAACTTTCTGAAGCGCGTGTCAAGAATCCTCTCAAGTTTAACGGCCTCTGGATCAGGGCCAATAGAAAAGGTCGTTGGGGAAAAAAACAGACTTCAAGTTCAAACCCTGCAAATACTTATCTGAATGCTTGATTTCACTCATTCGAGAAACGTAATGAGGGAAATGAGGTTATTCCTGAAAGCACGGTTACAGCAGCATGTTCAAGTTCACTGAAGGATTTAAAAGCAGATAGAGTTTACTTCAACAACAGATAAACCCATCACCACCCATCCCACGTGGCCACCTCTGCTATGCCATCTGCCCACTCTCTCTGCGGATGAATTCCAGATTCTGTTCCTGTGTGTTTCATCAACCACTTGTCTCACTTCCATCAGTTTAAACATATGGGATGAGTATTTCAGTGGGCAGAGTGAGCGAGCATATTTTTGTTCATTTTGTAAAGGCTTCTGCTGCCAGTAGCTCTCACTCAAGGAAATATTAACTTCAGCCTAGGTTTGTCCTTGGAAAATACCTGAGGATTTGACTTAAAGCCGTTTTTGCGTTCTGAAGCTCGAGGTTGGGAAGGCAGAATATTTAGACAATGACACCAACAATGAGGCTCCATTTCTGCACACATACATGTAGACACGTGTTTAGCTTTGAAGTTGTGAATCGTACTCTTGATTTTAAATCAGTCTTAAAATCCATGGGGAAAGTGGTTCCAAATCCCAGAAATGCTTTGGAAATTTTCATCTGGAAGTTTTGAAGTCAACAGCATTGCCAGACAGATAAACGCTGTCGTATACCTTACAGGGTACGCTATCTCTAAATACACTTGATTTCTGCAAATCGACGTTTTCCATTAAAAAAATTTGCCAGCTGCATGGAAGCAAATAACATCTGCGGGATCTGGAAAGACTTTCTGCACCAAAAACAACTGCTGGCTTGAGAAAACACCCGTCTGAAAGACGACCACATGAAACCTCAAAACTCTAGTCCTCAAGAACTGCAGAAAATGCACAGGAAAGCACAAACTTCAAAGCCCGTAGGGAATCCTCATAAAACTGTCCATGGCTTTGTAGAAAATTAGGTCTGCAGAGGTCTCCAGTGAGATCTCCACACATCACTTAAAGGCAGAATTTTGATTCAAGTGTTTTTTAGCCTGATTTCCAAAGGAAATAAAGATCACACGGTCACTCCCTCTGTTAGTTCTAATGCCCCAACAAATTTTGGCCCCATTTACTACTTTCCAGCATCGCTTGCAAAAGAATAAGGACATCAAAGGAATTAAGTATCCAGAAGTTTTGTGAAAATAAGCTGGTGAGTAGAAGTAACAGTCTTATTACTGTTCATAAGGACAGAAAGACTGGGCCTACA